ATGTATGATACAATGTATGAACATATGGTATGGCTCTCATAGTCGCTGTAGTGGTTCAGGAAAGATTGATGGGAAGAAGTGGTCAGTAAATTCCCGTTCTACCATAGTATATCCATCAGGAAGACCTTTCAATATTTGTGTAAAATTGAAGCAAACCAATAAAGAAGGATATCTTGAAGTGGTTACATTTAAAAGGGTGATGCCGTTGTAAAACCTTAAACTGGCAGTAGCAAGACTTGGACCGCTAAAGATATCGCAGCAAGGGATTCGTGAATGGACAGCTATGTATAGATAAAAGGGACAAAGTCCTATGAAGCATATTTCTCATACAGATAAAATTTTGAATTCAAATTTTAAATCACCACCCGCCAAAACTACAGCAATATAGCGCGCCGATTTACCGTGTATATACATTGAAAAACTCTCCACTAAAATGTGATAACAATTCCAAAACTAAGTTTGGAAGTAGCACCCTTTTAAGGACTTGTGCCGTTGGAAAATTCAAAACTAGAAGTAGTAAGATTTGTACCGCCAGGGACATCGCAGTCAGGGAATTGTGGTAGGACAAGCTTCGTATTGTTATGTGGAAGAAAACACCGTGAAGCATATTCCTTATACCGATACAATTTGGAAACCGAAATTTTGATTTACCACCCGCTCACACTAAAGACAATTAGACAATTGGTTAGACTAGTTATCAGAATAGTAGTATAAATAAATACGATAGGCCCTTCACGCTAAAGACACTAACCCATACTACGGGTTCAGACGTTCGTGAGGGACTGTCCAAATTGGTTTGGGCACGTGTCGCCGAACAGCACGTCGCTATACTGTTTGCATGCGCAAAAATACTATCCACCATAATCTGATAGCCATTTCAACCGATGTTGGCAGTTTCCACCCGGATCCAGATGATAATATCAAGTTATACTTTTGCTGAACATTGGTTGACACCGGCATTATACACTCAAGCTTTTATCTCAATCATGTGGTATTGACATCTCAGAACGCATAGAATATATGACTAGCACATCGGCAGAAAGCCTGTTCAGTGCAACCCTGAGTATGAATGTACGTTTTCGTCTAGTCTATCTTGCGATAATAATATGTGGGACTGTCGTTCAAAAAATCTTGACTTGTCGGAGGGGCATGGACATCAAATTTTATTTATGTGCAAAGGATCAAGGAAGAATTTGTATTTGAACAGGTATATATGTATTATGCAAATCTCATTGTCAACGGGCGAGCGAAGCGAGCGACAGTTTAGGGTTTTAGATGTTGTGGACCATTCTAGTGATGTGTGAAATAGAGACTGAAAGTAACAGCCTCGAAGGTGGTTCTGATAGTGAGCATAAAAAATGTGGACTATTTTGAGCGGGCGAGCGAAGCGAGCAAACGGTATACGGGGTGTGAATGTGAATATTTGCAATAAGATCAGCTCGTGAATTAAGCCATACGCAACAGAGTCGCACACGGGCGGGCAAGCGACATGGTATGTGACGAGAATCTGTGACGTTTTACATAATGAGAATTAGTCAGGATGTGTACATGGTTCTATAACCCTTTTTACGGGCGAGCAAAGCGAGCGGGTTATTAGTGTTGAGAATCAGTCAAGACGTGAGTATGAAGCTGCAAAATTAATCACATCATATGGTCACCCTTACCAAAAAAATGAACATAAACGTATTTTACTTGGGAGATTCTGCCGTTCCATAAGAACATTGACCAGATCTGTATCTAGAGCCCGTAGTTGCTTACAGGCCGATGACCACTTGGGATTCAATCAGGTCTAGCCGAACGGTCTACCAAATCAAACAGTATCTAAAAGAGTAGACTAATAACACATATTTAAATAAATCTCAGATACGACAAAAAAAGAATTTAACTCTTCAATTTTGACCAAGATGTGCTCACCCCCTGCGAGTAATAATGTTCTACGTTATTTAAATGTTGGAACCCAGAAGGATATTCATAAACTACTACTGTAGTGTAGCAAAACACCATACTCTTCAGATGGGAGATAGATCTACCTATGCTGGGCTCACCCCCTGCGAGTAGTAATATTCCACGTTATTTAAATGTTGGAACCCAGAAGGATATTCATAAACTACTACTGTAGTGTAGCAAAACACCATACTCTTCAGATGGGAGATATATCTACCTATTCTGGGTTCACCCCCTGCGAGTAAATATTCGACGTTATTTAAATGTTGGAACCCAGAAGGATATTCATAAACTACTACTGTAGTGTAGCAAAACACCAAACATACTCTTCATATTGGAGACAGATCTACCTTTGCTGGCCCAAATTTATTACAAAATCAAAGCAATTATCCGGAAAGAATTCTCACTCTGCCCACTCTGAAAGTTAATAGTGACTCAGTTCACGCTCGAACAACGGCAGCCAGTACTACTAGGCCCCCCACTATATTGATCAGACGAGACAGTATTCAAAGCTTGTGCATTAATGTAGTAGAATAGTCAATCACTGACTCCTTCACCGCAATGCATGCAGCGACACTACTGTATGCCATCGCGGACACGGTCCACTTCGACCTCCCTGCACCAACGGAATGGAGTGATAGTTTATAGTAGGCGTGTGTATTAACCTAATATAAATAGTATAGTTCAATATGATTCGTTCGGCTGTATACCCGGAGTTTCGATTATTCAATGTACTTTCCAATCACGTGTGGTTGTCTGGAGTAGCGGAGATTCATGAGATCCGCCACCTCATCCAACGCGGTGAGAGCCTTCACCAGGTCTTCACCTTCAACATAATTGAATCCAAAAGAGAATAGCGATATAATTAGTACATCATACTGTTAACCGAGCTGAGTGCTATGTGTAAGGACGTACACCCCACATATTTTCTTATAGCTGGCGCCAAGGGTTGCGGGTATTATGGAACACCAGAGATGCAACCACTCGGAAACTACACTTCCGCCGTAGAGTATCAATAAGAATCGCCGGGAAAAACGGATTGAACTTGAATATCGATAGTATAATTGTTTCACTTAGGTCGATATAAGTCGTCGTGTTACGACAACCTGAGGGCGGCTGTAAGTAGAATATTGCAGAAGGGATGAAGTATGATATATATATATATAAATATATATATATATATATATATATATATATATATATACATATACATATACATATACATATACATATACATATATATATATACGTGACGTATATAGATCAGAATACTGATCCAATGAGGCAATTCAAAACAATCATATCCATGCCAGCCTTGTTGCTAATACGGCTATGTCTTCATATATAGCTAAGCACTAAAGCAACCCATCACAGTGAATAAGTACACGCATACATATACCATCAAAGTAAATGCGGGACTTTCACGTATAATAATTCTACAAATGTAATAGAGGTCACATACGTGTATGAGACGACGACATGCAGAACCTCGCCCGACTGGTGATGATCGGAGTAGCTGGGAAACCCACCACCACCACACCAATCCCTCTGTGGAACATCTCACGACTAAATGCGCTGTTGACGGATGGAATGCAAAATGAACGTGTGTGTTAGATGGGTTTTTGCCATAAGAGAGTGTAAATGATAGATGGTATACTGTAAAAGAGTGTATGTGATAGACGGGATATTGTATAAGAGAGCGGATGTGTTAAATATTATTGTATAAGAGAACGTACGTGTTAAGATGTGTTATTGTATCTTCTGTAATACTTGTGCAATGCCGAGCCAGCTTTGAAGTGAAGTAGGAGGTAAAAACCATACCTACGCTTCAAGAAAGTGTGAAGATGCGTGTGTTTAGCCAGACATGGGTCGGAACAAAAGCGTTTTCTTGCGCTTTAAATTCACGCGTGGTTTAAACGAGACGATAAGAGTGAGTGTCACTGCGGTCCCCGGACATAAATCTTAACGTGTCATTGCAGAAATAAATGAATATATACAAGCAAGGTATAGCCCGGAAACAATGCCCATCTGAGTGAACAATTGCACAGAAAGCGTAATTAGGGCTATAATAGCTCAGTTCCTGTTTGTTTGGACTATACTATGTTATAGCCCGTACAAGGCCCATACTACCTACCAAGCTCACTATTGACACTTGCGCAATCGTAGAAGTTGGATATCAACGCCACCGATCAACAAGACACACGACTAAACGAAACTACCACACGATTTCTGTATGGTAATAAACCTTATCCACATCACATGCGCAGCTTCGTTTGACTTGGAAAAACAAACAAACTAAACAAACAGTTGCCCGGTATAAAGCAGAGACACAGACGGACAGGCGAGGCAATACCAGCCATTCTACCAGAAAGGCACCAAGGCTATGCCCGAAGCAGACCAGGCAGGGGTGAACCCGCAAATATACAGGGCAAAATCAGGGGGGCAAAGGGGAATACATAACAAATAAAGTCTGCAGCAAAGTAGTAGAAATACATAACATACGCGATCTTAGCAGGATAGTATAGAAGCACCGGGATGACAGGTGAATCGTCGCTGCCGTAAACAATCAGTCCCATCTCTAGGCACTGTGGGTGGAGTGAGGGCATGGTTGAGCCAGGCGTGAGATAACAACCAATGAGAGTTCATTAAACTTTCAGACAGCCAATGAGAGTTCATTTAACACTCAGATAGCCCATAGGAGTTCATAAAACATTCAGACAGCCAATGAGAGTTCATAAAACATTCAGATAGAAAATCCAGCACTGCGCGTCAACTAGATGTGAGCATAGCTGAACACAGTGTGAGAACGAACGAGCTCACAATGACTGGATAAGGCATGGGCAAACAATCTACTAAGGGTTCACAGAACTACTAGGTATAATACCGCCACGCACCGTGGATCAAGTACAAGGGCTGTGATTATATGATGGATTATGCAAACGATTGGAGGATAGGTGGAGCCACCGTATATATATATATATTTATATAAATATAAATGCAGACCAGACCAATCAGGTTCAGTGTGGAATAGTCAACTTCAGAGGGTCGCGTCGACACTACTCTACGAACCTTTCAGGCGAGGCCTGACAGCTGCTACTGCATGATAAAGTGTGCTTGAATGACAATGTGTGCTGATGTTCCTGGTTGCTCCATACCTTTTGCCGGAAGTAGCGGGTGTTGTCCTGGATTTGCTTAATCTTGTCTACACCCTGAGTGCCGCCGATCTGTCCGTCAATCAACTTCAGCGACGACACTATCTGGCCTACAATAGGCGGAGATACAGAAGTGGCGTACATGGTGCTGTGGATCTTCAGTCGTAACTCATCCATGAGAACCTATTAACAAAGACAAACAGATGGTTACAACAGAAACGCAATGGCTTCAAAACGGTGTATAATTATGTATTGACATGCACACTATAACATAGTGATAGGCGGATATACATATATATATATACATATACATATACATGCATATACATACAGACAGAAGTTGGAACGATCAGATATATGGAGCCACGTGTGTGGATCTACAGGAACATGTCTTGAGGAGTAGAAACTCCCAAGCGCTGACAGTGTGTTAAACAATACGCCTCATAGTGGTTCTTCATAGCAACTCATCTATTACCATTACATGCGCAGATTTCCAAAAATAAAAATAAAAATGCAATGCCTGACGACAAACCCTGTGTGCGGAGCGGATATATTTACTATAGATAAATCTATATCTTTATGTATAGATGAATCTTTATGTATAGATGAATCTATATGTATAGATAAATCTATATGTATAGATAAATCTATATCTATATGTATAGATAAATCTATATCTTTATCTATAGATACAGATGGACTACAGTCACAACCAACAGACATCAGTCAATCGCCAAAGGTTCATATTACTATGACTTGCAGATCATTGGTATCCCCTTACACCCGTCCCTTCCCACACCACTACATGCACAGTACAGCTACCTTGTCACCAGCGACTAAACCCTCACCACTACATGCACAGTACAGCTACCTTGTCACCAGCGACTATACCCACACCACTACATGCACAGTACAGCTACCGTGTCACCAGCGACTAAACCCACACAACTACATGAACAGTGCAGCTACCGTGTCACCAGCGACTAAACCCACACAACTACATGCACAGTACAGCTACCTTGTCTCCAGCGACGTAGCCACCGGCAGCCCCAAATGATTTGGTGAATGTGCCCATCATGATGTCAATGTCATCTGGGGACACACCCCAGTACTCACACACTCCTACACAGAGCAGAGGAGAAGTAACGGAGGAGAGACAAGTTAACAGCGAAGGAGAGGGAAGTTAACAGACCAGAGGAGTTGCAACAGAGAAGAAAAGATTAACCCAAGTCATACGTCAAAGTGCTGTGCATGTAACCTATGTAGTTTGATAATTTCGATGTCCGAGGGGCCATGGAGTGGCTTTAGACTGCAGCAGACACCTTCGACTCTGTGACCAGACAGGGCTGCCGAGCCCAGTAGCACCACTCACGGTGTTGGGCCGTTGTAGCCAAACAGATCGAATACGTTATATAATAAATACGTGTCAAAAACGCGACAGGCGAGGTGACCTCACAGGCGCATATCCACACACTCAAATATCAGGTAGAAGAATTAGAAACACCAAACGAGCACAGGGGATGGACAGTAACATACCTCGACCGGTTCTTCCCATAGCACCGATACTGTGGGCCTCGTCTAGATATACATACGCCTGCAGAATGGGGTCAATGGGTGGACAGGTAGGTAAATACATGTGTGCGTAGGAATGAATGAAGAAACATGTATCTGCGCAATAACGCCTGCCCTCGGTATACGGATAGGACAGGCCATGGGTTAACACATAACCTAAAACAAAAAAGGACAGGCATCTGTGTGGACGCTCGCGGCCAATTACCAAGGAAAGGGCCACCAAATATATGCTACAACACACCAATGCGCGCGCAGGAAGCCTGATATTGGACCATCTTTCTGGCATGTCTGAGAGCGCCGCTGATCCAATGTGGGCACACACACACACACACACATATATATATATATGCAGATCATACTCCAAAGGGACTGTGTAGTAGGGTTTCTCGACTCAAGTTCAGAAGAGATCGTGTGGTGTATCCATCGAATGTGATGCACAAGACCGACTATACAATGCAGATCCGTTAAACGTGAATGAAGTAACAGATCAACAGCTTAACGGTATTGTGCCGATACATAAATGTCAGTTTATACAGGTTTATGTACAAAATTAGACGTGTATAATGATGATAAGAATAAATAAATAAACAAATATAATAATAATATATATGTGAACACACGCACACACACACACATTTTTATATGTGTACACATATGCATATTATAAATGAAAAGTAAAAAATAAATGTAAATGTAAATATACATATACATATAAATATATCAATATCAATGTCAATATATATATATATATATATATATATATATACTACACACACACACACACACACACACACACATATATATATATATTATATAGATACAGATATGTATGTATTTAATATAGACATACATAAATACAACGATAATAATTGATCTAAGCTGGCATACTTTGTATTTCTTCTTGAGACGCACGATCTCTCGTAGATTGACTATGGCCCCTTCCATGCTATAAATACCTTCACATAGAATGAGTATCTTCTTCCACGGCCTGTTTTGAAAAAAATAAAAAAATGAATAAGTTCAAAAGCCTCCGTTGTGCGCCTACAGTTTCATGTTTAATACTTACCATCGCCTGTGCTATAAACGTTAAAAAAAAACAAATAAAAAAAATTACACTAACAGAGGCACAGATGAATGCGTTCCCTACGAGGTCGGCACCGATTAAACGTTGTGTCAACTAGGAACACTTGTGCAAGCAGTTGGTATGCATATATAGTTACACATGTATTATATGTGTTACTAGTATGTATATTTAGATACACATGTTTCATATGTGTTGTTAGTATGTATATATAGTTACACATATATCATGTGTGTTGTTAGTATGCATATATAGTTACACATGTATCATATGTGTTGTTAGTATGCATATATATTTACACATGTATCATGTGTGTTGTTAGTATGCATATATAGTTACACATGTATCATATGTGTTGTTAGTATGCATATCATGTATCATATGTGTTGTTAGTATGCATATATAGTTACAAATGTATCATATGTGCTGCTAGTTTGAGTATATAGTTACTCATGTACCATATATGTTGCTAGTATGCATATATAGTTACACATGTATCATAAGTGTTGTTAGTATGTATATATATATACACATGTATCATATGTGTTGTTAGTATGCATATATAGTTACACATGTATCATATGTGTTGCTTGTATGTATATATAGATACACATGTATCATATGTGTTGCTAGTATGTATATATAGCTACACACGTATCATATGTGTTGATAGTATGTATATATAGCTACACATGCATCATATATCTTGCTAGTATGTATATATAGTTTAACATGTATCCCATGTGCATCTTAAGATACCTGTGTGTTCTGGGTTGTCCGTCCACTACGGCTCGTTTTAACAGGAATTCCAGGTTCTCCATATTGTTGTGTTTGAAAACTTGAATCTTCGCGCCGGACATGCGCGCTCCAAGCACCAACGAGGCATGGTTCAAGGCATCACTCAATATGAGACAACCCTAAACCCAACGCAAGAAGGTGTCTGTATGTTAGTACACACATAAACAAGCACCAACGAGGCATGGTTCATAGATCACTTGATATTAGACAACCCTAAACCCAATGCAAGAAGGATCGCTAAAGTGCTGATTTCCAACTACGTGTTCTGCGTTGTTTGTGCCCACCTTGTCCATCAAACTAGGAATAGTAGTCGAGTTTGTGGCAAATCCCATTCCGATGACAATTGCAGACTCCTTACCCACAAACTCTGCCACCAGTCTTTCACACTCGAAAAAGGCTGTAGGTATCATGCAAGGCATTGGGTGTGTAATAATATGAGGAAATGCAAATCATGTGTGTATGGTGTGTGTAATAGTATGAGGAAATGCACATCATTTGAGATACTTGTGTGCAGGAAGCTACTGAGAATATCATGCAAACCGGTCAATGAGGCTTGCAACTCCACATAATACTGGTGAGTGTGGGATGCATCTGTGCACGCACGCATGCACGATAGATGAGTTCGAGAGATATTTGTTATTTGATATTTGCATATATATATATATATATATATATATATAGTTACAATATATATATAGTTGCAATATATATATATATATATATATATATATACATATCTGATTATGTGCATGGACACATATCACCAACAAATATAGCAATCACGAGGAGAACAGGCGGCAAGTACGAAAAGTATGCCACAGTCTCCACGACTCCCCGGTGAAATCGGATGTGGAAGATTAATTGAATGCACGTACTCATCTCCTCCAGGAGTTCAGAGGTTTACAAAACCTTAAAACCCTAAAAATGGCCAAGAAGTGATACGTACACCCTTACAGTTCACGTGCTATCATGTGGCTCGAGCATACACAAGCACATGCGGTCTGCACGCGCAGGTGCCCAGAGATAGGTTCATCCGTGTGTGTTAGAGTACTACTTCGTCTACTAAAGCTATACCCGCAAACACAGCAGGGCTTCACAGGCCAATTGTCGCGCTTTGACAGACACTTACATATATATATATATATATATATATATAATAATAATAATAATAATAGAATCACACGAAGTCAAAGTGTATGCCGCACATAAACGTTTTGGTCAAACCTAAACAATGCGCGGCACCAGCCGACAAAACGCATGCACACACAAAATCATGATACATCCATGTGGACGTGTATATACAGATTAACAAGCAAGTACAAACACCAGTCACCTACACGCCTACATAAACACTCCTGACACACGTACATACGTCCACGCGTACACACACGTGCACGTGACCATACCATCGTTCGTGCCCAATTCCATGGCAGGGCTAGCGGAAGCAACTCCGTACTTGTGGAGGTGATCAACGGCCTCTTCGGCACACACGCCGGTGTTGTTTGCAAAACCTAGGTAGTTGTACGACCCCAGATTCATTACCCGATGAACCTCACCAGTGGTCCTGTGGATGGGTGATATAGTCAGTTGAAGTGCGGATGATGCGTGTCTGCATGATATGTGCTTTGTACATGATGAAGATGCTACACATGGGATGATACCACGTGTGGTTGTTCCTGTGAATGAGAGTGATAGTAAGTTGAAGTGAAGATTATTATAGAAAACAGATGAACAACACAGTAGACGGGCTCAATACAGATCGTAGGCAGCATCAGGAAGTATTCTATACCTAGTAATACAGATAGGTGACCCTATGAATGTGTCCTATACCTAGTAATACAGATAGGTGAACCCATGAAAGTGTTCTATACCTAGTAATACAGATAGGTGATCCCATGAACTACTCCCGATCTGCTGGCTCTTGAGTGCATATGCATACACACTCGCCCAGCCTACGGCCGCTCAGTCTTCACACGCACACACAGACAGAAACAGAGACTCGGGAACTACCTACAGCTCCAATGGTTCTCAATAATCAATACTAACAGGTGAATGGGGATGTCCACACTTCATATATATATATATATATATATATATACGTGCACACAAACGATATAATATAATCACACTAAAACATTCACAAATAGTCATGACATGGGAAAGTAACATCCTCAAAGACGAACTCAGGAACGCTTGTCAAGCCATCCACTAGGTGCACGAAGCGCTTCAGGCGCCACACAGTACACACGGCCCGCATCGGTCCAGTTATACATGCATATACTTGAATACAAAGTAAACGTACCCCCGGAATCTGCCGACACCACCCACATACACACCGAGACACACTCGTATACATTGGCGTTCAGGTACACCTACTGGAAATGCCAATTGTAGTCACTAGACACTCGCTCCACCACATCCACATATCCACCCGGGACACTGGAGATGGGCCGATTGAACACATCTCGCAGACGTCGGTACAGATTTCGGGTGTAGAAGCTTTCGAAATCCACGAACAAGGGAACAAATCCCTGAGAGGGGGTGGGTGCCATGAGATATAACAACGTGAGGAACTCCTTCCGCTCTGGGGGGTGGCTTGTGTGGAGGTGAAGTATTTGTTTTGCATGTTGTGTTGTTTGTGACATAGTGTTGTGTGAAGTTGTTTGATGCGTGTTCGTATGTTGTGTAGTTCGTATATTAGGTTTGAAAGGGAAAGTATGTGTATGCGTATATATATATATATATATATATATATATATATATAAAATATATAAATATATATATATATATACTATATAGATA